TTGGGAAATGAGCTCTCCTTCCCCAGTCCTGCGCACAAGCGTGCATGCGCATCGGGCGACCGCGGTGCCAACAGGAACCAGGGATAACAGAAAATGAGCCAGTCGCCCGTCCAGGCGTCGAGGTCCCCCCTGCAGAAGCAGGCGATGATTTATTGCTTTGCCGGGGAGGGTCCGGAACAGGGTGCATGGCGCGAGAAGCCAATGCAGTTTCCCTTTTGTTGTTGTATACACATACTTTGCCTTAGCATCCGCTTCGTTTTATATAGTGCACATATACATGTATATATACACATATGTATACCAGAACCATCGCGCGCTTCGCGCGCGCTCAAGTTCTAGCTAGGGTCGTGACCATCGTCATCATTAGCATCATCATCCCCGTCATCTGAATCGTCATGGTTATGGTCACCTTCGCCATCACCAGCACAACAATCAGCATTATCACCCGTATCGTCAGCATCGTGATCACCATCGCCATCGTTGTCGTCGTATTTTTCAGCATATCATCTGCATCAGCAATATCTTGTTGGTCGTCGTCGGCGTCGCCGTCGGCATAGTCATCGTCATCATCATCAGCGCCATCGCCGTCGTCATCCCCGGTCCACTGCAGCCTCTTACCCTTCTCCTTTTCCCCGTTTCTATGTTCCCATCATCTTATACTCATCATTTTCTTCGTCGGCGTCTCCCTGAAGAAAGGATCCCTTTTCCTTCACCTCCTCATCTTCTTCGTCTTCTTCCTCCTCCTCCTCCTCCCTGTCTTCCCCGCTCTTCGGTGTGTCCCTCCTTGTGTTCCTTCACCTACTTAACCTCCTTCCTCCTCTCGAGCCCTATTCATCCTGCGCTCCCCATCCCTCCTCGTTCTCAGCTTCCCTCCCCGAGCCAGAGAATGAGAAAACAGTATAATCTAACAAGAACAATGTCCCTCCTCCTCTTCCCCCTCCCCCCTCTTCGTCCTCCTGATATTCCTCCCCCTCCTCCCCTCCTCCTCCTCCTCCTCCTCCTCCTCCTCCTCCTCCTCCTCCTCTTGTCCTCCTCCTCTCCTCCTCTCTCCTCCTCCTCCTCCTCCTTGTCCTCTCCTTCCTCCTCCTCCTCCTCCTCTTCTCTCAACGCACCCAGTACACGGGTGCCTGTTGGAACGCGTGCCAGGAGCCTTTTTTGGGAAACATTGTGGCAGTCTCTGGAGCCTCTCCGGGCCTTCCTTTGGAGTCCTTCGGGGTCTTTGTTGGTCAGTCTGAGAGTCCATTTCGGCCGTTCCGGGTCCCTCTTGGCTCGTCGTGGGGAGCTTAGCCCGTCTTGGGGCCCTCCTGGGGCCCTCTCCGACCATGTAGGAATCCTCTGGTTGCCCCCTCGGGCTTCCTGGGGGCTCTCTTGGGCCGTCTTGTAGCTCTTCTGTGCCGCTCGAAGCTCTCTTCAGCCCATCTTGGAACCCTCTTTGGGGCCTCTGGGGCCGTCTGGGGCCCATTTTGGTAACCTCTTGGGCCGTCGCGACCGCTGGTAGAACTGAAAAGCGAAGCTCCCAGAAATTATCCCGGCAAAGCAACCTAACAGCGATGTGTAGGAGCATATCTGGAAGCATTCTCCTTACGATTCAGATGAGAAACCTGTTGTAGAATTCTGCTGTTCTCGCAGTCGTAGTCGCATTCGCGATGGCGGTCGCAGTGGCAACGGCAGTCGCAGTCACAGCCTCAGCCTCAGCCTGCCTCAGCCTCAGCCTCAGCCTCCTCAGCCTCAGCCTCAGCCTGCTTCAGCCTCAGCCTCAGTCTGCCTTCAGCCTCGGCCTCAGCCTCAGCCTGCCTCAGCCTCAGCCTGCATCAGCCTCAGCCTCAGCCTCAGCCTGCCTCAGCATCAGCCTGCCTCAGCCTCAGCCTCAGCCTGCCTCAGCCTCAGCCTCAGCCTGCTTCAGCCTCAGCCTCAGTCTGCCTTCAGCCTCGGCCTCAGCCTCAGCCTGCCTCAGCCTCAGCCTGCATCAGCCTCAGCCTCAGCCTCAGCCTGCCTCAGCATCAGCCTGCAGCCTCAGCCTCAGCCTGCCTCTGCCTCAGCCTCAGCCTGCTTCAGCCTCAGCCTCAGTCTGCCTCGGCCTCGGCCTCAGCCTCAGCCTGCCTCAGCCTCAGCCTCATCAGCCAGCCTCAGCCTCAGCCTGCCTCAGCATCAGCCTGCCTCAGCCTCAGCCTCAGCCTGCCTCAGCAGCCTCAGCCTGCTTCAGCCTCAGCCTCAGTCTGCCTTCAGCCTCGGCCTCAGCCTCAGCCTGCCTCAGCCTCAGCCTGCATCAGCCTCAGCCTCAGCCTCAGCCTGCCTCAGCCTCAGCTCAGCCTGCCTCAGCCTCAGCCTCAGCCTGCTTCAGCCTCAGCCTCAGTCTGCCTTCAGCCTCGGCCTCAGCCTCAGCCTGCCTCAGCCTCAGCCTGCATCAGCCTCAGCCTCAGCCTCAGCCTCAGCCTGCAGCATCAGCCTGCCTCAGCCTCAGCCTCAGCCTGCCTCAGCCTCAGCCTCAGCCTGCTTCAGCCTCAGCCTCAGTCTGCCTTCAGCCTCGCCTCAGCCTCAGGCTGCCTCAGCCTCAGCCTGCATCAGCCTCAGCCTCAGCCTCAGCCTGCCTCAGCATCAGCCTGCCTCAGCCTCAGCCTCAGCCTGCCTCAGCCTCAGTCTCAGCCTGCTTCAGCCTCAGCCTCAGTCTGCCTTCAGCCTCGGCCTCAGCCTCAGCCTGCCTCAGCCTCAGCCTCAGCATCAGCCTGCCTCAGCATTCAACAGCATGTGGCCCGGGAATGGAGTTCTGGGAACTCGAAGAACACTAAGTGGCCTACAGTTGGCTCCGGGCATTCAAAATCATGCCCAGGAATGGAGTTCTGGGATCTCGAAGACCACGAAGTGGCCTACAGTTGGCTCCGGGCATTCAAAATGTGGCCCGGGAATGGAGTTCTGGGATTTCGAAGAGCACGAAGTGACCTACAGTTGGCTCCGGGCATTCAAAATGTGGCCCGGGAATGGAGTTCCTGGGAACTCGAAGACCACGAAGTGGCCTACAGTTGGCTCCGGGCATTCAGAATGTGGCCCGGGAATGGAGTTCTGGGACCTCCAAGACCACGAAGTGTGTAACTGTTGGTTTAAAAAAAGTCCCCGGCACCCTCCCCCGGATCGCGTCCAGACCACCCTGGGGCGTCATGATGCTCTCTTTTGACCCTACTAGAAACCTATCAGTCTTCGCTGTTAGGTAATATTCGTTTTTCTTTGCGACATGCTTAATTTTTGCCTTTGGAGGGCCTTCTCAGCGGCCTCTTAGACAGTCGTGGGGGGTTCATTTTGGGCCTCTTGTGGCCCGTCTGGGACCCCATTTCGGCTGTCCCAAGCCCCTCTTGGCATGTCATGGGTAGCTGAGCCGTCTTGGGGCCCTCATGGAGCCCGCTCCGACCATGTAGGGATCCTCCAGTGGCTCTCTCGGGCCCCCTGGGGACTCTCTCGGGCTGTTTTGGAGGAGCCCACTTGGGGGCCTCGTGGGCCGCGATTTGGGGAGCATTTGGGGCCGACGTGGTCGCCGATGGAACACAAGAAGCGAATATCATAGAAATGTGTATTATTTCCATGGGGAATGCTCGTTTCTTGCACCAGGGAGCCTTCTCAGCGGCCTCCTGGACCGTCTTCAGGGAGTCCTGGTAGGTTGTTTTTGAACCCTCTGGGAGCCCAGTTCGGCCGTTCCGGGTCACTCTTCGCCCGTCATGGAGACCTCAGCCCGTCTTGGGGCCCTTTGGGGCCCTCTCCGACCATGTAGGAATCCTCCGGTTGCCCCCTCGGGGTTCCTGGGGGCTCTCTTGGGCCGTGTTGGCTCTCTTGTGCTGCTTGAAGCTCTCTCCGGGCCGTCTGGGGGCCCTCTTGGGGGCCTCTGGGGCTGTCTGGGGCTCATTTTGGGAGCCTCCGGGGCCGTCGCGGCCGCTGGTAGGATTGAAAAGCAAATATCCAAGAATTATGCGTCTTTCCATCGGAAATGCTTGATTTTTGCCGCGCTCTTCAGCCACCTTCCAGACAACCTGGGGCGCTTTTGGCGCCTCTTGGGCCAGCTGGGGAGCCTGGGGGGGTCTGGGGCCCCTTCTGAACGGAGCCCTCAAGGCCCCCCCGGCCCCCCATACGAACCAGAGGCAGCAGTTCTGGGCCCTCCCCCAGCCTACTCCGATATATATATATATATATATATATATATATAATAATAATAATAACATAATCTAATATAATATAATATAGTATAACATAATATAATATAATATGACATGGTATAATATAATATGATATAGTATAAATATAATATATTATATTAATAATAACATAATAATATAATATAATATAAACTAATATAAACATATAATATAATATAATATAATACAATATAATACAATTAAATATAATAAATATAGTATAATATATATAATCTACTATAATATAATATATTATAAATATAATACTACTATAATATAATATGATATTGATATATCTACTATCGTATATCATATAACATAATATGATAATAATATAGTATATATACTATAATATGATATGATATAATATAATCTAATATAATATAATAATATACAAAATATAATATAATAGAATATAATATAATAAATATTAATACTATATACTATATTATAATATACTACACTAGTAACAAATTTATTTAATGTAATTAATATTAATATAATATCATATAATATATATATATGTAATATAATATAATATCATATAATAGAATATAATATGTTATATATATATATGCATATATATATATATACATATACATACACACATAGCCCGCCTTAGCATCCGCTTCTGCGCCCCCTATCCCCTCAGCCCCCCCGCGGTCATCCAAGCGACGCCGCCCCCCCCCCTTCAGGACCCCGGCCGGCGCCGCCTCGCCCTGGCTGCTGGGTTCCGCGGCCCTGGCCGCTGCGTCCGTGGCCAGCGGCAGGAGGCCAGGCCGCGGCCCGCGCCGCGCGCTGCCCGCGGCGACGGCCGTGGTGGAGGCGCCCGCCGCCGCGGCGGAGGAGGCCCCGCAGGCCCCGCCGCCCTTCGACCCGGCCAAGGCCGGCATCGTTGGGCCCACCTCGAGTCGGGGCTCAAGAGACAGGGGTCCGTGCAAGCGGGGGTCCGTCCGAGCGCTGGGCCCTGCAGCATCCTGCAGAGCCAGGGCTGCACTGGCCCGGTCTTTTGAGTGCGCGAGTTTGCAGGACCCTGCAGGAGTTTGCAGCATCTTGCGCGAGGCCCGACCGACCCGGCTTTGGATGGACCCAGGTCAGTAGGTCCCCGATCGAGGATCGCGCGGGTGGTGCTGGGGGGTGACCTATAGTTAACCGGGGGGTGAAGAAAGAAGGCCCCCAAGGGGCCCTTCTCTTCACCACCCACTTGGGACCCCCCCCCTCTTACCACGCGCCCGAGAGGAAGGAAGACCGGCACGAGCTCAAGGGAGGACTAGGTGCCGCTACCGCTGCCATTACCCACCTCCTCGACGCCGCGGCCGGATTCGCCGCTGGATCCTGGTGAGAGTGCGCCCTGGGCGTGGCCCAGGGAGTGGCGGCATTGGTCTTTTTGATCTCTCATAGAGAGATTAACTGGTCGAGGGTCCGCGCGGATCTCTTGGGTCTGCGCTGGACCCCCAACGGCGGCGCCTCCGGCGCCGCGAGGTCCAGCGCCGATGCGAGGTATCCGCGCGGGCCTTCGAAAGTTAATGTTATACCGTGTCGCCTTCTTCTGCTGACCCCATCCCCGCTTCGAAAGCACTGGTCCCGCTGCCCGACCTGCCCCCCCCCCCGCCCCCCCAGGCGGGGATTGATGCCGGCCCCGTCGGATTTTGCGGCGTCCATCCTGGCCTCGAGGGGGTAGGCTGGTGTCGCCAAGGAACCCTGGCCCGCTGGGGATGGGGATGGGGACGGGCCTGACGATGCCGACAAGGCGGTCGGCGTGACGGCGCCCCTGGGCTACTTCGATCCGCTGGGGTTCTGCCAGGTCGGCGACTACGCAGGCTTCCACAAGCTCCGCAGCTCCGAGCTGAAGCACGGGCGCGTCGCCATGATGGCCGCCTTCGGGACCGCTTTCCAGCACTTCGTGAAGCTCCCGGGCTTCGAGCAGACCCCTGCAGGGCTCGGGGCGCTCACCGACCCTACGGGTGTGCTCGGGTTCACCTGCCTCATCCTCCCCATCGCCGCGTTCACGGAGAGCGTGTACTGGAAGGATGACGACCTGTCCAAGGAGCCCGGCAACTTTGGGGACCCGGGAGACTGGGCGGGGCTCTTCGGCGCCTTCGGCGGCGGCTACAGCGACGAGATTCGGAACAAGGAGCTCAACAACGGCCGCATGGGAATGATTTCGGTCATGGGAATCCTGCTGGCGGAGATTGCCACCGGCAAGGACGGCATCCAGCAGTTCGGCCTCTGAGCGCACCGCGGAGATCTGAGGGTGGATGGGTCACTGCGCTGGTGCTGCTCCCGGCCAGCCCATGAATCGGGCTGGCCGAGGGAGGCGCAGATTCCAGCGGGCTTCTGCTCTGTAGGAGCAGGAGGATTCGAACGGTTTTCGCCGGAAGACGAGCAGGCAGCATGGCGCGGCCCGTCAAGTCTCCTCCGGCCGCACGGCAGTCTGCTGCAGTTTTCGAAGCCCGCTGCGGCTTCAGGACCCCATTGCTCAGTCCTCCCCGTACCGCTGCGGTGGCTATGGGCTCGTGGCTGCCGTACCGCGTGCCGGGGCGCGGAAAATCTTGGCCGCGCAGTCGTCCGCCAGGCCGCAGTGCCAGCGGCAGGAGGCGCCAGCGGCGGCGCCATGGTGATCACCCTCCACGGGCCTCGAAGAAGAACCAATTGCACAAACATAAACTGGTAAGGATCCGCGCTGGCCTTCGACGGTTTATGTATATGCAGTTTTTTCTCCTAGGGCCGCAGTGGCCATCAAGCGGCAGCAACGCCAACGACAAGTTTGACCAGCCGCCTCCCTCCCCCTCTTTCTCCCCCTGGGCCCCGTAGACTTCTGCTGTTCCAACTTGCTTTAGCTATGATTGCCAGAAAGAAATTCGAGCACCAACGAAATACGGAAACTAATAGGCTTTCCCGTGTCGGGCCTTGGGAGGCGATACTCGTTCGACACTTTGCCAGCGTGCGGAAAATCTTGGCCGCGCAGTCGTCCGCCCGGCCGCAGTGCTAGCAGCAGGAGGCGCCATGGGCCGCACCATGGTTATCACTCTCAACGGGTCTCGTGGCTCGCACATGTGGCTCAGGTGTTGCTTTGAATTCGTGGAAGAAGAAGAAGAAGAAAACAACGCCATTAACATACACTTTTGGCGCTCCGCGCGGATTTCTTGGATCCGCGCTGGGCCGCCCCCGGCGGCGCCGCCGGCGCCGCCCCTGGCGCGCGCCGCGCGCCAGGGAGGGGGGCCCAGCGCAGATCCAAGAAATCCGCGGGTAGCGCCAACACATTATGTTAATGCCGTCTTTTCTGTTTCAAATCCCTGCGCCCACCGCAGGCTCACCCGCGGCCCCTCGTGCCCTTGCTGACGAACGAACAACACACACACACACCCATACCCACAGGGGGGGGCGGGGAGGGCCACGGGTGCGTGCTGTCGGATTGGGGGTCCCGCTGGAACGGGAGCCTCCCTCGGGGTCCGACAGCCCGCACTCAATACTCATAGCCAGCCCTCCTCCGTCCGAGCTCCCTATGGTTGAGTCGGGCCTGTCCCTCTGCAGGAGGACTCTTCAAAACTGGTCCAAAAATAATGTGGGGACGACTTCCTGGGACTTTTGTGGGAGCATGTCTGGAGCATTGCTCGACAATTGTGCTTTTTCGTCCCAAGTATCCCCCTGTATGGGGGACGTGCCCGACCTGGACCCTATGTATGGGTGTGGGCGTCTGCTCTTCGCTCGTCGCTCGCAGCGCGCCGGCCCGATGGCCGCCTTCGTGCCCTCGGCGGCCGCGGCCAGCCCGGCGGCGCAGCCGCTGCGGGCGGTGCCCCTCGGCTCGGCGGCGCCCGCGGCGGCCGCCGGCGCCCGCGCGCCGGGCGGCGGCGCGCGGACCTCGGGGGGCAAGGCGAGGGGGGGGATGTCGGCCACGCGCGGCCACGCCCTTCTGAGAGGCCCCCCCTGCTCGGAAGGCGCGGGCCCGATTTATGTATAAATCTATAGATGCGAGGCCGGCGCCTTCTGAGCAGCAGCCTCCTGTTACGAGGCCCTTCCCCCCTCCCCCCAGCCCCTTTGTGCGCGCCGCCAGGGCTGGGCGGTGGCACAGCACGGGGGCCTCGTGTGCCCTCGCAGGTTGGTCTTTGGCGTCGATTGGCGTCGGTTCGCGTCTGGGGGTGGATGGGCTAGCGCCGATTTCGCGCCGATTTCGCGTCGGTTTCGCGTCGGCTTAGCGCCGGTTTCGCGTCGGTTTAGCGTCCTGTTAGCGTCGTCTAGCGTCGACTCGCAAGAGCCGACAATGGGAGGCTCCCGTGAGTTGCCAGGAGCGTGCGGTTTTGCCACTGTGGACCCATCGCCGATCTGTCGGCGATGCAGCGCCGCTTCCCGCTCGACGTTTCCCCACTGAGCTGGTCCCCCCATGCTGAGATCACCGCTGGGGTTGCTACGGGGATATGGGGGGTTTATCTGGTTGGCCCGGGGTGGGGTCCAGCGAAAGGGGGTGGTACAGCAGATTTGGTGCAATAGATTTGTGGGGTTGCAATAGAATCGGATTGTGCAATACATTCCGGGACGTCAGTATATTGATGGGTTTTTGTGTGCAATACATTGAATGCAATACAGTGCAATACAATTCTTTGGCGCAATACGTTTGCAATACAATCGCCCCAACCCTATTGCACCACCCCCTTTCAGCTGGATCTCCTTTTGGGTCAACCAAGGCTTAGAAGCGGATGCGGAGGCGGGTTATATGTGGCCTACATTGAACATCCATAGTAAGGGCGGGTAACCTTCCAAAAGGCACCCTTGCGTGCTTGCCGTTCCAGGGGTCTTGCGTCCTTGCAGCGCGTCCTTACTACAGCTTTCGGTTGTAACCTGTCACAGAAGTGGGTTACAAGTGCTTTTAGTGGCTTCGCGGAGGAACTGTACAGATCTGGTCGACGTGGGCGGAACCCATTCGGTAGAGTTTTCTAATCATATTCTGGGTCAGGCCAGCTAATTAGCTATTCCCATTGCAATATTTTCATTACCCGGACCCCCCCCCCTAAACCAGACCCCCCCCAGGGACGCTCCGGTTGCTTTTCGGACGTCCCGGCGGCCCCCTGGACGCCCTTGGAAAAGGTCCGCCGGCCCTTCAGGGCCTCCCAGGGCGCCTTGCCGGGCCTTGCAAGCAGACTATAGGCGATCCGAGGGGTCATCGGAGAGGCGCAAGAGAGACCCAGAACAGCACAAGAGCGCTCCTAGAGGAACCTGGATGGTCCGAAGACGGCCCAAGAGGCCCCCAAGACGTCCCAAGAGGCCGTTAAGAGAGCCCCGAAGAAGCACAAATCGATCCATTCTCTAAGGGAAATGTATTTGTTTAGTATATCTGCTTTGGGGGTCTTCGCAGCGTCCAAGACGGCCAGATGGGCCCCCGATATCGCCCCAAGTCGGCCCAAGAGGCCCCCCAGAGGGTGTGAAGACGGCCCAAGAGGGCCCCAAGACTTCCCCAGAGAGCCCCGAGACTGCCCACAAGAAGTCCAAGATGCCCCCAGAAGGCTCCCAAGAGAGACCCACGAAAGCCATGGGAGACCCCCAAGAAGGCCATTGGAGGATTCCACGAGGGCCCTAGATGGCTTCAGAAGACCTCTGGAGGGCCGAGCTGACCCGACGATCTTGGTCCCACGCTTGCGGCTCGAGGTTTCAGTTCCTCGATCGAGAGAGACAGGCAATGAATCTAGATTCGAAGTTCGACGATCGAAGATTTTTTGAGTGCCTGGGGCCCTCCAGGCATTCAGGAAGCGACCGGACATCGATTTGTTCGGAGCAACTGCGATTTCTTCGGCCTGTATGGGAATGCTCTTTACTTCCTCACAGGACCTTCGCGCGTGAAAATTAGCCTGACGAGGGACCCGACCATATGCAGGTGTGAGTACCGCAATAGTGCTTCACTTTCTCGGTGGCGATCCCTATGAGGCAACGAACCGTGCTAGGGGTGTGCCGACATGAATGGCGCGGTACACAACGCGAGCGAAAACGATTGATCTGAGTACGTAGGGAGACTGAGCGCGGGTGTTTCTGAGCGCGAGTGCATCTGACTGTGAATGAATCTGCGTGTGGGCGAGTCTACGTGCATGAATGCGAGTACGACAAAGCATGGTGCAATTGTATATGACTGTGAATACTTTGAGAACGACTGCCTCTGAGTACTCGCGACGCTGGGCGTGGCCGCCGCAAGGAGCTTCCCCGGGACTCTCCGACGGCATCGCCCGCGCGCCGCAACGCCAATGTCGGCGCGCCCCCCCGCGAGGATCGCGCCCGCTTCCTCCCCTTCTTTTACTCCCTCTTTGCCCGCGCACTCAAAAGTCCAAGGCTGCGGGCGCAGCGCAGCGCGGAGTCCCCGCGACGCGCGCAGGTCGCCCCGGAGGGGTCCCAGCGACGCGCGCGGGTCGTCCGCTGCGCGGAGCAAAGAGAGCCAGCTGGCTGGCTGATAGCGGGCAAGGCTCTTGCCGCTGGGCAAAGCGACGACGGGCGAGCGAGACGCTGGGCAGAACGCAGCACGGAACCCCCGCGACGCGCGCTGGTCGCCCCAGAGGGGTCCCAGCGACGCGCGCGGGTCGTCCGCCGCGCGGAGCAGAGAGAAAGCTAGCTGGCTGGCTGGGACGTTCGGTGGGGCTCCATATGGGGCCACGAAGCGCTGTGCTGGGTGGGGGAGACGCATGCAGTTCCCCGTGGGGCCACAAAACGTGTGAGGGGTGGGCCGATATGAATGGCGGGGGCGCCTTCGGATTGTGCCACGGAGACCTTCGGCGGAGCTCCTGCGGGGCCACGAAACTTGTGAGGGGTGGGCCGACATGGGTGGCGGGGCCGCATGCGTACTGTGCCACGGGGCCCTTCGGCGGAGCTCCTATGGGGCCACGAAGCGTGTGACGGAGACCTTCGGCGGAGCTCCTATGGGGCCACGAAGCGTGTGAGGGGTGGGCCGACATGAATGGCGGGGGCGCATGCGGACTGTGCCACTGGGACCTTCGGCGGAGCTCCGATGGGGCCATGAAGCGTGTGAGGGGTGATTCGACATGAATGACGGGGACGCATGCGGACTGTGCCACGGAAGCCTTCGGCGGAGCTCCTGTGGGGCCACGAAACGTGTGAGGGGTGGGCCGAATTGAATTGCGGGGACGCATGCGGACTGTGCCATTGTCACCTTCGGCGCAGCCCCTATGGGACCACGAAGCGTGTGAGGGGTGGGCCGAAATGAGTGTGCGGGACGCATGCGGACTGTCCCATTGGGACTTTCGGCAGCGCTCCTATGTGGCCACGAAACGTGTGAGGGGTGTGCCGAAATGGGTGTGCGGGACGCACGCGGGCACACCCACTGGGATCTTCAGCGGAGCTCCTCGTGGGGCCACGAAACGTGTGGGGCGTCTGCCGAAATAGGTGTGCGGGGCGCATGCGGGCACGTCCCAACTTCGGCGGAGCTCCTTATGAGGTCACGAAGCGTGTGAAGGGTGTGCCGAAATGGGCGTGCGGGACGCATGCGGGCACACCCACTGGGACCTTCGGTGGAGCTCCCTATGGGGCCACGAAATGTGTGAGGGGTGCGCCGAAATGGGTGTGCGGGGCGCATGCGGGCACACCCACTGGGACCTTCGGTGGAGTTCCTTATGGGGCCACGAAGCGTGTGAGGGGTGTGCCGACATGGGTGTGCGGGACGCATGCGGGCACACCCACTGGGACCTTCGGCGGAGCTCCCTATGGGGCCACGAAGCGTGTGAGGGGTGTGCCGAAATGGGTGTGCGGGACGCATGCGGGCACACCCACTGGGACCTTCGGCGGAGCTCCCTATGGGGCCACGAAGCGTGTTGGGTGTGCGGGACGCATGCGGGCACACCCACTGGGACCTTCGGCGGAGCTCCCTATGGGGCCACGAAGCGTGTGAGGGGTGTGCCGAAATGGGCGTGCGGGACGCACGCGGGCATACCCAGTGGGATCTTCAGCGGAGCTCCTCATGGGGCCACGAAACGTGTGAGGGGTGTGCCGACATGGGTGTGCGGGACGCATGCGGGCACTCCCACAGGGACGTTCGGTGGAGCTCCTTATGGGGCCACGAAGCGTGTGAAGGGTGTGCCGACATGGGTGTGCGGGACGCATGCGGGCACACCCACTGGGATCTTCAGCGGAGCTCCTCATGGGGCCACGAAGCGTGTGAGGGGTGTGCCGAAATGGGTGTGCGGGACGCATGCGGGCACACCCACTGGGACCTTCGGCGGAGCTCCCTATGGGGTCCACGAAACGTGTGAGGGGTGTGCCGAGATGGGTGTGCGGGACGCATGCGGGCACACCCACTGGGACCTTCGGTGGAGCTCCCTATGGGGCCACGAAACGTGTGAGGGGTGTGCCGAAATGGGTGTGCGGGACGCATGCGGGCACATCCACTGGGACCTTCGGTGGAGCTCCCTATGGGGCCACGAAACGTGTGAGGGGTGTGCCGAAATTGGTGTGCGGGACGCATGCGGGCACACCCAGTGGGACCTTCGGCGGAGCTCCCTATGGGGCCACGGAGCGTGTGAGGGGGGTGCCGACATGGGTGTGCGGGACGTATGCGGGCACACCCACTGGGATCTTCAGCGGAGCTCCCCATGGGGCCACGAAGCGTGTGAGGGGTGTGCCGAAATGAGTGATGATGGTGGTGATGATGATGATGACGATGATGATGGTGGGAGGAGGGAGGAGGAAGGATGGGGAGGAGGAGGAGAAGAGGAGAGGAGACGCGGGCCACCGTCTCTTCAAAACGAGGACCCACCACCACAGGATGGTTGGGAAATGAGCTCTTCTTCCCCAGTCCTGCGCACAAGCGTGCATGCGCATCGGGCGACCGCGGTGCCAACAGGAACCAGGGATAACAGAAAAATGAGCCGGTCGCCCGTCCAGGCGTCGAGGTCCCCCCTGCTG